TAATATTAATAAAAATAAATTAAAAATTTACAATATTTTAATAATAATTTATATAATTAAAATAATTTTTTTAATAAATTTAATTTTTATTATAATAATAGTTTTTAATAAAAAATGATTTTTAAAAGAAAAACGATTTTTGAAAAAAAAAACGATTTTTGTTATCTTAGTAGCTCAGACCAGAATTCGAGAAGCGGGCTTCGCCCGCTTGCGCCACAGGCGCCACACAAACGTATGGTCAATGTGTTTGTATTTGTGGGTCACGAGTTGAGTGTTTTTCAAATTCTGGTCTGAGTTAATTTAGGCGCTAAGGCCGCAAAAGTGGCACAACTTTTTCAAAAATACCATGTTTACAATAACTTAATATTTAACAATAACGTATAAAATAGCTTCTATTTTTATGACTCGGGGCTAATATTTTACTTTCTCTACCTTCCCATCTTTTTTGCATACCCGTACGGCATCGCGTTGTAATATCGCAGGCCTTAACGTCTAACGTAAAAGTGGTATCGCAACCGGTAATACGCCGCAGTCAACACCAACAACACCCACAACAACACCTATAACAACGTATAAAATGCTTCAGGGGCTATTATTCAATTGCCTAAACCTCCCCATCTTTTTTACATACCTATACGGCATTGCGTTATAATATTTTAGGCCTCAACGTCAAAAAGATCGTCGAAAAGATCGTCGAAAAGATAACATTGGCACATTACCACCACAACCAGTACCACAACAACACCCGCAACCACGTATAAAATGCTCTAGGGGCTATTATTCAATTGCCCCAACATTTTCGTCTTTTTTTTATACCCGTACAACCTCGTCGCGTATTGCGGCTACCGAGTTACAGCTACCGCGTTGCAACCGGTATTGCGACCGGTGTTGCGACCGGTATTGCGGCCACTTTTAACACCCCCAAGAGGCTTAAAACGCATAAATTTAATCGATAAACCTAATAAAAAGGTTAGTAACTATTATATAATCAATTATTACTTACTTTAAACGCGTCGATATTGTTGTATTTAATAATAATGCTATTTTAATAAGTGCCTACTTAGGGGTAAAAACGACCAAATTGACTCAAACCAGTGTTGGAAAAAATGTTCGGAAAGGTAAGTCAGGGTTGTAATTAGTCAAAAAGTGATGTGGCTAAAAGGGTACAACGAAACGAACTTTTTTTCCAACACTGGTCTGAGCTACTAAGATAAGATTTTTGAAAGAAAAACGGTGGTCGCCCGGGCAACGATTGCTTAAGAAATAACGTTACCTCTTTAATAAATAATGCATATAGGAGGTACGGTACTCTGTTAAAGAACCGTTTCTCAAAACCACCCTTTGCCGCTATGGTAGGTAAATGCTTCACTTACAAACGTGGCTATGCCTTTCGACCATTCAGGCGAAGCTACGGCCTTAATAATCGCAATGCCGAATGCAACGGGATCCAACCTGCATATGCTGTTCCGCTTACACTGCTTGCTATCCGCCCATAATTCTTCCCCTCTTCTACCCTGTTTCTTGCAAAAAAGGAACTAGCCTTTTCGATCTATTTAAGTATAACGGAACTGCCTACCTATGTTATACCGAACACGACACATATCGCAGAGTTATCGCGAAGCTTCTTTGTCACACCGATATGAAATTCAACCCCTCCAACACAAGCCACTTATCCCACCCTAATGAATTTGCAAAGTAGCCCTTTAGTCCAAAATGCTTTGTGAAACCTGCCGGAGTTCGTATCAAAACGCCTACAAAGTGCTCAGCACAATCGTCGACGAGCTAGAACCAGTGTTAGAATCAAATATTCTGCATCCTACACCCCTAAGTCTCTATGCATCAATTTTGACGGGATGCCTAGTCTGCCGAAAGATATGGACGTCGATTCTAAGATTTAGAACTGGGGTTGAATTTGAAGGTTACTTTCGAAGGGCACTTGAAGGCGATATGCCTAAGACGTACGAAGAATTTCGCCTCCAAAGTGGAGTTCGAAAACATGACATCGAGCAGCCATGGATAACATTCGATATCACCGAATATTCTAATGAAAATAGAATATTAATTGGACTGAAAGAAGGCGTAGAATATTTACTCATGGTTCGCTTGGATAATGTCATGTCAATAGAACCTCCGTATAAAATCCAATGTCGCTCGACAGCTGAGGCAATCGGATTATGGCAACACTGGTATCATACCTGCTTGAAATCCCACGCCAAATGCCGTGCACAAAGAGAGGACAATGAAGTATTCACGCCTGATAGACTCATAGAAGTACGTCGCGACAATAACGGAAGTGGCTGCAAGTGGCGACTTATTTGTAATGAGCATGTTGGCACCGTGCCATATTTGACATTAAGTCACTGCTGGGGATCTTCTAACCACCTATGCTTAACCAAGCGCGATTATTCAAAGTTCTTGGAAATCTCAGCTGATTCACGTTTGCTTAAGACATATCGGGACGCATTCCAAGTTACCACGTCATTAGGGTTCCAATTCATTTGGATCGACTCTCTGTGTATCATTCAGGATGATGAAGAGGATTGGAAAACCCAATCTTCAATGATGGGGTTGATATATAGCAGAGCTCATTGTAACATTGCCGCCACATGGGCTGCTGACGGCACTTACGGCTGCTTTACTAACAGGGACCTATTAATAATGGACTATACTTCGGTGGAATTAACTCCTGATAACGGTCAAACCGTCGAATACGCCTTTGCGTGCTCCCTCCCCGTACACCGTTCGATGGCACAGAAGCCACTGGATACGCGTGCATGGGTTATTCAAGAGCGATACTTATCGAAGAGACAGCTAAGCTTCCTGCATCAAGTTTATTGGGAGTGTCTGGAGCTTGTTGCTTGTGAACAATACCCCACGGGCGTTAAACCTGATTCCCTAAAAGATACTCGACTCGGTGTGTGTGAAAAGCCAACTCTAAAAATTCGAAATCATGACGAGTTTCGAAGTGCCTGGCGTAAATTGGTACTCTGCTACTCGGGTTGTTATATTACTCAACAAACCGACAGATTGGTAGCGATTGCAGGGCTGGCTGGAGAAATGCGAAAAATGGTACCAGACGAATATCTCGCTGGCATGTGGAAAACAGATCTCATTAGTCAACTGTGTTGGTATGCCGACAATGGAGCTGCAGAATGGCGAACCCGTTTTAGAACCATAACCGAAATTGCCCCAACATGGTCTTGGGCCAATATATACGCGCCAATTTCCCCAGATCCAAATTATGCCACCAAAGATATATTCACCCCGTTGGCAGAGATCATAGGAATTGATGCCGTCTCAGATGATCCTATGAAGTTGCATAGCTTTACATCATCAAAACTGATACTAAAAGGGATCGCCGTGTTGGCTCATGCGTCAGGGTTTGGGACAAGGTTTCCTATGGATGAATGGTACAGGCTTCGACTTACCAATCAGCTAATAACGGAGAGATATTTAATACCGGTACATATTGACGTCTATATCGTCTGGGATGAGGATGTCTCCATCATGGCCGCTGATCCAGATGAATGGTTAAGACTTCATGAAGAACGAAAACAGGAACTTTTATTCATGTGCATAGCTTATAATCACGGTTTGAGATCCTTTTCTCGTCTTCAGGGGCTGGTCCTTAGGAGGCTCTACTGTCCTGAAAATCAAGATTTATTTGTTAGGATAGGGTGGTTTTCCACGAGTGACAGGAACCCTTTTAAAAGATACATAGCTAAAAGAGTTATATCACCAGTGACGAAGGACAAGGTCAAGAATGGAAAAGTGGAAGACCCATTCCGTGGGGAAATCATAGACCTGGAAAACCCTGAGCTCGCCGACTTAGTTCATACAGTTACTATCATTTAATACAGTTGCTGAGATTGTCCTTTTAGACTAATTTGTACCAGAACCCGGCTAGTAGTAAACAGACGGCTGTTGCGCTACCCTATGTATCGGCACAACCTGGATAAGACCATCATGGGAGATGTTAGCGATATCGGCCTTGCAGGCCGAGCAACTAATACGAGTATTTTCAAACCACCCGCCTATGCATGGTAGACAAGCGAGACACGGGCAGACGCAACACAGCAAAGCCCCTACTACCCTATAGGCGTAAAGTTTAGCACGAGATCAAGACAAAATTCACGAGACGAGACCGTTACATACAATTGCATTCCACCTCCCTCCTTCGTGACATTTGTTCTAGTCCGCCGTTTACAAGCAGGGCAGTCGATCCATTGAGCGTGTTCATTGAGCCTCTCCAGAGGCGTCACCATTGGCGGATCCCGCTCTTGGACAAATTGAGGTGGTTTATTATCCCTTACTATCATATTTGGCGGCTTCGAGGGTCTATATAAATATTAGTATGAATACTGTTTAATGATAGGTAGCCTTCCAATGGTGGAAAATTCATACTCTTCAACGATTATGTTAGGGATCGGCGGTTGAGTGTTGATTTGTATAGTATCTTGCTCGTTCTCCTTTTTCGTCAGGTCTGGCTGTGGTGCAGCCCTTACGGGAGGTGGAACTTGAATATGCGTGTCTATGACACCCTCAACTTGTGAGTTCTCGGCCATTTTTAATCTCTGTATTTAGGAGTGTATAACTCCTTTAAAAGGCCTATTTCGCTCATTGATATAAGAAACTAAATTGCTTTGTACGCTAGAAGATAGTAGTATATATGAACTTAGGTATAAAGACGAGGAGGGAGGTCATTATATGCACATTCTCGCCAAGACACTGCGCCACGCTCTAATTTACTGGTGTATGTGTGGTACAAATCCTTCTTCTATTTATGGCTTATTGGTTACCTACTTCCCATTCTCCAAGTGTCCCCTAACTCTGTAGAGGAGCTGAACATTGGTCGGTAAAATTGAAACTTAGCCTACATGATACGCCTGTCACCTAGGAAATTGGAGGCGTAAGGCTGACACGAGATATAGGTATATCCTTCCATATCTAACTCGCCCCTGTAACCACACTCAAACCTTTACATAGCACCAACGAAGGTCCAAGGAAGAAAAAAACGCTACCAGATAAAATGCGCCTCTTGGAAGCTCGTACCGCTAAAGAGACTGGAATTCTAAAGCTTGTAGAGAAGAGAGCGAATGAGCTTCTCAGGTACGCTATACTATCGCATACCTGGGAAGATGATGAAATAACTTTCAACGATATTGAAAACGACAAGGCAACTTTTACCTCAGCCAAGACAGCTGCAGCCCACGCATCACTATCCAAAATTCTAGGCGCGTGTACCCAAGCTGCTGATGATGGCTACGATTATATCTGGATCGATTCGTGCTGCATCGATAAACGCAGTAGTTCTGAGTTATCCGAGGCCATCAATTCCATGTTCGCTTGGTATCACGATGCCGATGTCTGCTATGCCTTCCTGCTCAAAGCACCGAATGAACTCGTTACGACGGAAGCGAAGGCTGAATTTGCCACGAACAGGTGGTTCACTCGTGGCTGGACGCTGCAAGAGCTTCTCGCACCAAAGGATATGATATTCTTCTCCGGCGATTGGGTCCCGATTGGTGAAAAGAAGTTTCTATGCTTGCTACTTGCCGAAATCACGGGAGTCGATTTCAAGATATTGCTGGGTGACGAACCTCTAGACTCAGCGAGTATTGCGAGACGAATGTCATGGGCTGCGCAAAGGGTGACTACGCGACCGGAGGACAAAGCCTATTGTCTGATGGGTATCTTCTCTGTTAACATGCCCATGCTATACGGGGAGGGCGGCGAGAAGGCATTTCTACGGCTTCAGGAGGAAATCATGAAGCAATCGGACGACAACTCGTTGTTCGCCTGGGTCAACCCTAACTCACCACCACATGCGAGGGAGGGCCTCCTAGCAGCAGATCCATCGTACTTCTTAAACTCAAATAGTATAATTCCGTATCAGGATTGGGAACCTCGTGAGCCCTACACCTTAACTAACCGCGGCCTTAAAATTAGTCTTCATCTCACGGCACTCGATGACTATAAATATGTAGCAGCCCTCGACTGTCCCGTGCCGCCTGACTATAAGGACTCGACCTTCTTGGCGATATATCTACAGAAGCTGTCAAAATACAATGACCAGTACGCACGTATTCAGGCAGGACAGCTCGCTAGCGTCCGTACACGTGGACACCTCCTAACTGTCTACGTCCCTCAGAAGCCTAAGCCACCATCATTAGAGGGCGCCTTTCTTCATCACTTAGTCCAGTTAAGGGAAGGTCCCCCTCCAACGATCTATCAGCTTGTATGCCTCCTGAGTCCACGTTTAAGAAATAACATCCCCGGGCCAATGTCAGCAAGGAGTTCAGCCAGGAAATGGGTCACGGACAAGTGGTCCCTCATCTATACTCTATACCGGAAGCCGGAACAGCTTTCCGCGGCTCTGATATTCGAGCGTACAGACGGCGCGAAGATAGCTGTGTTGATTGGCACGCTCAACGGGTTCGACGTTGCCTTTAGCGCATGTGAACTCGACGCCGGGCTCGACTTAGATCGCGTACAGTTCGAAGAGCTGGAAGCTATTTTCAAGCCTACTACAGTAGGAAGATTTGAGCTGTCGTCCCATAGTGTCCGCGTGTCCGCCACGCCCGTGCTACAATCGTCAGACAAATATTATATGGTTGATATCGGAATCGAAGCTATAAATTTTACATGGACAGATATGGTGAGAGAAGCATTTGATGCTGCTACTGGTTTAGGCCACGGTAATAATGCAAGCACACCAGTACCTAAAAAAGATGTCGCAGAGAAATCAAAGAAAAATAATAACCAACTGTCGTTTTTGAAGCATTTCAAACATTAAAATAACCTTTCCTACGTTTTACGCTCTTATATCGACTGCCGTGAGCTTTGAAGTCTCTGGTCTAAACTCGATGAGCCTTTTTGAACGCGCTATACCTTTCTCTACGAAGAAAGAGTACCAACTATACCAGTATCTATCAGAATACAATAGGGCTATCTCGTAAGGTAGCCGCCAGATACTAGGTCAATACAAGGAGGCTATGCCCCCCTATTCCTGAAAGGGCAGGAGTCAATACAGTGCATTCAGTTGGAAAATCTAATTACACCGTTATTAAAAGGGGAAACGCATGTACCTTATTGTCTAACCTAGGTACCTAGGTAGACACACGACCTTACGTCAACAGCCATAATGCAGAGCTCCCTTTCTGTTCAACGATAAGTGGTAGATGATCGGCGTTTCCTTCTATTCTTGCAACATATGGTAGTCCTTGTTGTCTGACTCCCTCTAGAAAGACGATGACGGATCATATCCGGGAGGGTACTCGCAAGCTTCGAGGTATTCTTCCCAACTCATTACTTCGTAAGGGTCGTGATAAGAACGATTAGCTTTCGTCTTCTCCTTTTCCTTTTCCTTCTCTTTCTCTTTCTCCTTCTGCTTCTTCAACGCCAGCTCTTGGGCCTTCGCTCTTTGGCGCTCTTCTCTCTTCTGCTTCTCAATCTCGTACTTGACTAAGGCGTCCTTAGCCCAGGCCGCCAGTTTCTCGCTCTCTCTGAAACACCATAGCACAATCTCTCGAGATGCGAGTGTATCCTCCAAGCAGTCGTGGCCACGTTTAGACGACTGTATTGTGATACCCAGCAATTCTTGACACAACACTTTCAGCCCCCATTGGCGACATAGTCTATTGCCCCTTCCGAAAACGGCTTCCGCAACTAGGATAGCAGAATCGACAACTTTGTTGTGAATGACATGTATGGCCTGCAAGTCATGGTTGAGCGAGTGTCCTATGAGTATCGTGTCCGCGTCAGCAAGCTCAAAAAGCTTGGTCCTCGCGGTCGGCCACCCGTTCAGAGCCGTTCCATTAGCCCGAGCCTGAGCAATCATAGCTGGGGTTATTCCGCTGTACTTTGTCCTCCAGTCTCTGACGATCTCGGTGGGGATCACAAAGGAGTCGACAAGGACTTCTCTCGTGAAAAGGTCGACAATGCAAATACGGGCGAGTTCGCTTCTTCCTCCCGATATCCCAACCATCTCGCAGTCAATGACAAGAGCCTTACGTTTTGTCATCCCTTTTACCTTGATAGGAGTCGGGATGAATCTTCCGATATTAATGTGCTTCCATTTTCGACCCGTCCAAGTGCCTGTGTAATAATTCTCGTCTATCAAGCACGCTTCATCATGACAACAGGGTGATAAAGAGTTGATCAAGGCTGGGGTTTGCTTCTCTGATGACCACGGATATTTACTTGAAATAGGATCCGACGGCACGGTCGGAGCTGGCTTTGGGGGTGTATATACACCTTCCGTTGAGCTCTGCATTGTTTGGCTTTTACTCGAGATGACGGCTAGATAAGTTAGTATAGATGGTTTGTTATATTATTGGAAGAGAATATGGTAATATTTAGTGTAGCTTAGGTACCTTTGGGACCCTTGGGAGGGTTCTTTCCTTTGGCGCTCTGAGATGGCTTAGGGGGGTTAGTAGAGGTAGTGGTGGTAGTGGTGGTAGTGGTGGTAGTGGTGGTAGTAGTAGTTCCTGCGGGTTTGCTTGCGGGTTTATTTGCGGGCTTGCCGGAAGTGACAGTGGGTTTATCTATCTGGGGTTTACTATCGGGAGCATTGGTCTTAGCCTTAACTTTGGCCTTAACGTTGGTTTTCGGTATGGCAGTCGCGGTGACAGTCGCAGGGGCAGTTGCAGTTGCAGTTGCAGTTGCAGTCGTATTGCTCTTGTGTTTTGCGGCAGTTGCCTTATGCTGTGCAAGTGCACTCTTAGAGTGGAATAAACGAGAGCATTCCGTGCACCATTTCGCCTCCATATGTCCAGTGTCCTTGATATGAATATTCATCGATTCCATATCTTTGAAGACTAGTGCGCAATCGCACCGTCTCTCGTAGGATCTCGTAGCCTGCGACATGATGATTACCGGTTATAAATGGAACGATATGGTATTCTAACATCCAAATAATAATATATCGGAGTGATAAGTAATAATAAGCAGGAAATTGTAGGAGTCACGAGCTTTTTAAATGGTATACGTGGATCTGGAGGCCTACAGACTCAGCCTGACTTAGGTAGTGAGATGGCTGGCTGAAGAAGGGTTGGAACGACCACGACCGCGGACCACGGGCTACGAATTGCGGACTACCTGATTATGTCGCATCCGAAGCTGATCAGCGAATCAGACACGAAGCTTCTATGCATCTTCATACCGAAACAATTCGTGCACACGAGCTTACATTGTTTCACAAAACCACTTTCATTCTGTTATGTGCTACTACAGCGAAGTTGTTTTTGGTTGCCTTACTACTGGTATCTCGTTTGCTAACACCGTTTGTCGCTCAAATATGAGGTAATCAACTACGTAGACTGGTCACAAGTACTTCGTCGAAGAACTAGACCAGCTTAGCCCTTTCTCGAGGCAAATTTTAGACGCTCTACGGTACATATCGTTTAAGCTGTCGTCGATTGAGTTGCGACATGAGCGACACGCGACCAACCGGATTGGTTGAGGCGCAGCGGCAAACGGGAATGTCAACAACCCTGTCCTGTAAAAACATGGGGTCGACTTTCTAATGTAAAAACCACCCCAGAAGACCCATCGTTTGATTGTTCCATTATCTGCAGGGTAACACATACGAAAGGTTGATTGCCCCCAGAGCCAAGACAATAGAATGACTAGAATATAATCTAGTAGTTAAGATAAAAGAAAGAAGTTAAGTCGACCAACCTCTTTTCCTATCAATGCAACTGTGGATAATTCCAGAAAAGAGTACGAGATAGAATCACAGAAAATCATAGGAATAAATGGTCGAATCTCATACCTCTAGCCTATTGAGATTGAGGCAACAATTAACACTCATATAATTTCCATAGGTAATAAGCTTACTCACTTATTCTATATAAACAAGAAGGGAGAACATAGCCCAATCATTGCACAAAGAATCATAAACCTGTTTTAACATTTGGAACTGTCCGACTACTAACATGGCTACTGACATGTTGTCTTGGATTATTCAGTAGTCCAGAATTTTAACAAGCAACTTTGGTTGACCCCAAATATCGGGAATACTCAAGAACACCAAAGAAGTCTATGTCATAAGATAGATCTAGAAGACATGGAAACAACTTTGTAATTCCGCAAGGAACTATGGCCCTAATTACCTATGGAAGCCCATAGCAATACACACTAACGCGATTCTAAATATACTATAACGAGAATGAAAACGCTGCAATAATGCTGACGGCGATGTTTGGTTAGAAAGTACTCATGATAGGTTCTGCTCGTATCGGGCATGTAAAAAGACCCAACCCCTTATAAACCATCCCAGTATCCGAACGCCCTTCCTGTACCATTTACTCTTTATAATCAATTTGAGTCCATCAAAGACCTCTTTCCCCGGGCTCCTGCTCTCCTTCAGGTTCTTGCGAGGTCGTCCAAAAAAGATAAACAAATTCAATGCTATAAGATTCAAATCAAAGTCAGCAACTTCTATTCCAATAAGAGGCACAGGCCTTAAAACATAACAAGCGAGTTAAACACCCTGGGCACAATCAAATTAGGTAGGGACTGTAGAAACCATTTTACATCAAGAATTATAAACAACTCCATAAATTACTTACTTTTTTGCGGCCAGGTATCCAGCCCAGAGCCACCAAGCAAAATCATGAAACCATGCCAGTGATCCGTCAATAGGCACGCGGTATATATGTACACCGACAGCAATGACGCTCATCAATTGGCGATGGACATGAACGTCAATTTTTGGGTTTCGCTCTTTCATATTCATTCTAGTATCAATATCTTCACCTACTACCGCCAGAGAGGCTATGAAAAAGGTAAGAGATAGGGCCCATAGGGCTAGTCTTCCTCCAAGAGAATAGGCAATATTATCAAGGTCGCGCAAGAGGCGGAGCATCGAAGCCACGCTAACCACCTCAATAGCGAGCTCGCTAAATTTACTCGGTAATCGAGAGGAGTACATTATGAAGAGGCTCGCGATTTGTATCCCAGAAGTAATTTAATTCTTGGGCCGGGAAGTCCTCTTGCTGAAGTAGAGTTAGGATTTGTGGCCTTGCTAAGGGTGCTTGTCATAAATGGTAGAATAGAAAAAGTTGGGAGGTGCCAGAATTCTGATATTTGCAAATTTGGTAAGATGTATAATAAAGGGGATGTTTCTGTATATATATGTCATAGCTTAGGTTGGAGTTTCTTGTGAACTAAGTTATTTGCATACTTTTAAGGCTACTACTAGTTTAACATGCTTACCGTGCTCTTACTTCAATGTTTCAAAGGGAGTTTAAACTTTGTTACTAGCAGCGGGATGGACTTTCTCTTCATATCTAGCTCCCCATAGTACGGTGGCATATTAGTGCGCAACCGACAAAACAAAAAAGCGGATGAAAATTCGTCCGACTTGGCACTCGCACTATAATTACAGCACTTACATACGCTAAAGCTCCCTATAAATACAGGGCATTACAGTGGTGTATTCGTTAAAATTATAATGTTTGAAAAAAGTTTCCGAGGTTATGTAATATTCGGGTTACCTTTTTTATTAAAATTTAAATTTAATTAATTAAATTAAAAAATTTAATTGTTAATTTAATTTTTAATTACTTTTATTTTTTCAAATAAACGTTATTTGATTTTACTTTAATATAACAATTAAAAGTTTAATTTAAATATAATTTAAATCATTATTTTTACATTAATTACGGTTATAAAATAATACCAATTATAATATTTAAATTATTATTTTTATAAAATTATTTAAATATATTTGTAGGTAAGACTGGGTATCCGTACGGATTAGGTAATAGAAAGGAATAACGTAACGAAAGGAAAGGAAAGGAAACACAATACGAAATGAAGCTATCACGATGACTGTTGTTGTACTGATGGATTGAAGTTGTTGTAAGGATTACGAATTGTGTGTGTGGGTGCTACCTAGAAAGAATTGCCTTTTGTGTGGGGATTAGTCACGTGTTGCCACGTGACTATCCTTACGTAATGGCATGATTAATTGACATGTTTACAATATTATATATTATATATATAAAATAATTAAAGATTAAATTAATAATGGAATTTTTTAATTTAATTAATTAATATTAAAATCCATTAAATCCATTATAATTTTAATGGTTATATACGTTAAATTTATTATAATTATAATAAATTTAATAGTTTTTTTTAAAAATTAAATTAAAGTTTTTTTATAATTATTTACAATTAATTAAATATTAATTAATTAAAATCCTCGATTTATAAACTTTATAATTATAACGTATTATTTATTATAATACTTTATATTTATAAAGTATTTAATAGGTAAATACGCTATAATTATAACGCTTACGCCAGCCAATCGGACGAATTTTCATCCGTTTTTTTGTTTTGTCGGTTGCGCACTAATGGTGCACCGTACCCATAGGGCTTCCTATTTTCTTGATGATTTTTACCTTATAAGCCCGTAAACGTAGAATAAGTAAAGGAGAAGGAGAAGGAGAAGGGACTAGCTCGAATCTAAAGCTCATTCCTCGCAGCCTGCACAGGCCCGTTTTTGTTTTCCGCTTTCAATAACACGCTTCTCATAAAACATTGGCACCAACAATACTACCACCACTACACTACTATCACCAACAACAGCCAAAAAAAAAAAGGGGGGGGGGAGAGGGGGGGAAACCCCCCCTAAATATAAAAACTCCAATGACAACCAACAAAATGCCATGCCTACCTAGGTATCGCCTTCGCCCCCATTGTGTCGTTTACCCTCTTGTTCTTGCTGGGTTGGTCAATCCGGGAGGTCCGGGGCGAGATGCGTGCCCTTCGGAGCCAGCTGAAAGAGATGTGTGGTGATGCTTAGTCGGAAATGGGCTGGTAATCTTAGGTGACGATGGGTATAAGATGTTTCGGGTGGGGTTAATATTCCTTACAGACCTTTGGAGAGTATGGAGCAGGTTATCAACGAGAGGGGGCCAAACGGTTACTTGGAACACCATGCTACATAATAACAAGCTGCATCTGAGTGTACTTGTATTTATGCTATCAAAGTCGCTATTAACCTAACCTGTGTGCCCCGTCGGTGTATTTGCTAGCCTTACGTACGGCTCAGATATCGATCCAGTGTTCATACGTAGTGTGCAAGAAACATCGGTAGGCCCTACGGCGAGACCTGTGCGAATCGGATAAATGTTGGGAGATAGAAATAACTACTTGGAATCTTAGATCAACTTAAAACCCATAATTTATTGCTAATTAAACTCGCGAGATACCTGATCTACACCCCATATTGTATAACAGCTGCTTCCAAGCCTCGACCATTTCCTCCAATATGGTACACCCAACACCATAAGTCATAAGTCATATCTTGTCGTTCGTTGTCAAGAGTACTGATACAACCAAGTTGCCACCGAAGCCAGTATTCTGTTGTTGTATTTCCACAAGTCCCTGCCCTAAATCCACGCAGGCGCCAGCCTCAGGGGCGTCGATATGTCGGTTAATTAGGTAGGTATTATGAGCCCGACGCTCTAGCTAAATACGACAATCCATCATACAATTCCTGCAATAACAGCCATTACAGCGCCGTAAAGGCCAACGCAAATAGAAAGCTCCCAGGTCCGGACAGCAACGATACCCCCTTGGATCAGGGCTCCCAGGATACCTAGGCCGACTAGGAATACCACCGTCAATCTGCCTAGATATCCCGGTATGATTAAAAATGTCAAAATCGGCAGGATGACAGACACCGTGATCCCTATAGACAGAGGAACGATTGGTGATTCTTCATACATGCTGATGACAGTCTCAGTACCGATTTCCTCTTGTCGATAAGGCGAGGTGGGCCGAGACTTGATAGGGGATGGAATAGGAGACACGCTTCTATGTTCGCCAATTGGGAAGTCGTGATGCGG